CTCTCTCTCTCTCTCTCTCTCTCTCTCTCTCTCTCTCTCTCTCTCTCTCTCTCTCTCTCTCTCTCTCTCTCTCTCTCTCTCTCTCTCCGTGTAGACAACCAGTACCTTTTATTTCCTTTATTCTTCTTGCTTTTTTTAAGGTTTTTTAACTTTTTTTTGGATTGTCTGTGTTTTTCTTTTGGGAAAATTGCATATGTACCCCACCTAGAGATGGGAATAGAACTTGCATCTATCCCCGGAGGCCGTTCAACTTTGCATAGTACCCAGCTTTTCCCCTGTGCGAAATTGCAGGTTGACCCAACAGGCCCTGGGTCTGGAGCACAAAATTATGCTCATGCCCACCAAGTAGACCGTTGTGGCCCAGCGGCTGCCGGGTATGAGCATAATTTCAGCCATCCAGTAGCAGGGTGTATGAAGTACTATGAACAATTTGGCTACTCCGCCTCAGGTCCCGGGTATGCCCATAATTTTGCCTGGGTATGTTCATAATTTGTGCATTCCGGTAGTTGGTTATAACCGTAATTTTGCAGTACTAAACTCGGTCCACCTCGGTCCTGGGCATGCAAACAATTTCCACCAGCCGTTTTCTGTGTATAGACGCAAGTGGGTGTATTCCCACCTTTAAGGGCATACTCACAATAGGGCCTCAAAATCGCAAAATCGCAAAATGAGTGGCCAGATTGAGTTCTTGTAAACAAAGGACTCTATCTGGCCTCTCATTTTGTGATTTTCTGATCTTGAGGGCCTAGTGTGAGTATGCCCTAAGTGGGGCACGGAAGCAATTTTACCTTTTCTTTTTAGTTTTTTCTTGTTGGGAAGTTCTTTTTGCCCGGGCTTTTCGCAGCAAACGGGCATGCACTTCCCCGGCCCCCGTTTGATGCGGTCCTTAACGACCGCGTTGGAAAAAAATAACGGGACTCGCCGGGGAGGTACTGGTGGTTGAGTCTATTGCCTGTCCCGATGGATTCAAAATGTCGGGTCATAGAGTGTATAGTTTTTTTCTTGTTGGGAAGTCCTTTTTGCCCGGGCTTTTCACAGCGAATGGGCATGCACTTCCTCGATCCCCGTGTCCTTTTTGCCCGGGCTTTTCACAGCGAACGGGCATGCACTTCCCCGATCCCCGTTCGATGCAGCACTTAA